ATATATATATGGGCAGGTCCTAATTAGCAAGCCAGTTGGAAGTCACCCACCAGTTGCCCATCCATAGATTATAGTCTGAATCTTCTCAAATGTTGTGAAATAAAGTGCAGTAAGATAAATGTACTTGACTTGTTTAAGAAACATTTTCAGGCTAACAAGATCAATAATCTAACACATCCTGCTCTTGTTTAGTACATCAGTCTCAAAACAAGCTCAAAAATACTGTTTGGCTGATTTAAGATTGTAAGACTCGGTTAGACTGACAATTTTTGCAGTGCAGTGCAGCTTGTATGTAACATGGAGTTTGTCCTTCATCAGTATAACAAGAACACAAGAACATAAAATCAAACTAAAAGAAAATGTACCTTCTTGATTGCCTCAGAAATACAAGCAAACATAAACATGCACCATTATATTGTACCTAAAAAAAATAGTTCTCGTCAACACCAGAGCAAAATGTCTCCTTGAACAGGCTGTTTTTCTTGTTGCATCACAGTTTCTGTTCTGTTCAAGAAGTGTGATGTAACCAGGCTGACTATAAGACACCCGGCTGCATGGGGTTTCATTCTTAATGAGCTAAAGCTCATCTGCTTGTCAAGCATTTATTTATTTTATTAGTTCCGGAGCATACGAACTAATGCAACACACTGTCACGAGAAAGTATGGCTGAGACATATTTGCAGGTTTGAAGCAGCAGATAAATGTGTTATGAGTCAGCGTTCGTAGACAGAACATCTGACGTTCAGTGACGACGGTTTCAGGRATTCTTTGTGACTGTGTCTTCCGGGTGCGGAGACGTTTGCCACTTGAAGCCTCGTGGAGTCAACTCGAAGCAGGAAATTCAAAGTGCGGCTCTGTTTATTAAAGCTTTGATATGTGGTTGTTTTCAAGAGCTCAGATCAGTGCTGGTCGTTGAGCAGTATTTTCACATCCTAAAAACTATTATAGTCATTAGAAGCCCCGTTGCGGCGCAATCTTCACTCTATCCGCAGGGTGACCATTTGGGAATTGCAGGAACGCAGCTAAGCTGTAAAAGTGTGCTACATATATTTGCTTAGATCTAGATTCTAAGCTGAATTGCTTTTTTTTTGGAAGGAGTTTTCCACCTGCAATAACAATTAGTATTTACAGTTGAGCTGCTCGGAGATTTGTTGTTATGCTTTCTTGACTGTTTTAAAGTCTTCACTTGATGTTATGGCTCCATTAGACATTTTGTTGAGGGACTTTATGGCCCACTAAGCAAACAATCATTTAAATTCAATTAAGACTTTTAAATGGCACAGTTGAAAACGGTCCTTTTAAAAGGTTTTGTTTGTGTGCAGCACTGACCTATGTGCAATGACTCTATCCGGCACACTATGGATGCATATTGCACATGACAGTAGATAAACTCCTCWGTCTGTGTGCAATGAACAAAATGGAATCATTAGCGGAAACTTCAACATAATGTGAAATGAACAATAACAGGATGAACCCAGTGTGTCTTTGCTCCTCTGAAAACGGTATAATTAGCAATTAGCAGGCAATGTATTACAGTAGGTGCAACTCCAAGCTGTCTGCACGCACTAACCTGTCCTGAGGCGTCCCAAATAAAAACATCCCGCTGGATTCAAATGTGATTAATGTCTTTCACGAGACGGTTCGCGATGGCAGATTAGCCGTGATTATGAGAGGGCTCATTTATTTTCAACATGTCATTATCCTCCACAACATTGACTAAGCAAATGACCAATGTGTTTACGAGCGCAACTGTAAGCAGGGTTTTCCTGATCATTAATACTGTTCTTCATGTCCCCCCCTCCCCGTCGCCAAACTTGATAAAGTAAAGTAAACATGTTGAGAAAAGCGTAAAATAGCAGCACATTAAAAGAAAGTCAATACGTTTGAGAAATCCTTCAATTTATAGTTTGCAATGGCCCCTAATCGGTTTAGATTTGGATAATAAAATGTGAAGAAAGTTGTTTTTTGTTGTTTAAATAGCTATGAATTAGTGAAAACTAGCTACAAAAAAATTTAAATAAAAAATGTGCTGAAACCTTTCTTTGGGACAACCAACGGTTTGCAGTTTCTGCAAAAGCCGAATTTTAAAACCACAAATTCAAAATTCATTAAACTCTATAGAACAGTAGAAACCATTTGCAAATTTGGCATTTTTGTTAATTCACTTTTCTGTTTATGAAAATAGCTGTGAAGGTGGTTATGACATAGTTATGTAAAAACTGTGTTCAAGTCAAACACTTTGCATCTGGTAGCTGTTAATTAATAATGTTTTTGTGTTGTTCTCAAGGACTTAATTGCGAAAACGAAACTGTTCAACAACCTTTTTCTTTGTATTAATAGATGCATTTGACCGATCTGATAAATTTTAAAGAGCGTTGAGCCAATTTGAATAATTGATGACTGTTTTCCAACGGCTTGATTGTCACAAAAAACCAAGACAAATAGAGTGAAATGGAATCATGAAATATTCACTGGAGTTCTGGCATGAAAAAAAAAATTAATCCAAAGTCCTTTTACATAGATGCAGGTGTCCTTGTCTAGACAACTTGACCATGAACTTTAAAGTAAAAATAAAAGAGAAAACAAATGTTTGCAGTAAAGAAATGTGCTGTAGATTTTTACCTCTTTTAAATCACAGCTAAAGAATGTCGATCCGATCCCATCAAGGCATTCGGGGCTCTCAAAGAACAGCTAGTAATGGCAGCATAGAAGCCTTCGGGTCAAAGTGCAGAAAGAGTTATCTACAGCAAACACAAAGCCTCACTCCGTCCCTGACATTTCTTTTAGTAAAAGCTGCAACATGTTTTGCAGCGTTTGTATTTTTGCTCTGTTGTAAACACTCCCGGACCCTCGCTTCTGAGCGTCTGGCTCTCAACAAACTGAAGTATCGCAGACAAACAGCTTTCAGCTCTGATGAACGGCAGTCACATAACAACATCGGTCATCTGCTTCTAAATTATACACAGAAGAACGGCACTTTAGTTTCTTGTCCTGATATCAAAATGGATGTTTAAACAAAAACTAAAAAAAGACAATTACAAACAGCTGATTTCATCATCATTTGAAAGGTCAGAAATCTTTTCCTCTCATTGCCCCACTTTAATCTGTTTAGTCATAATGCAATTTGCTATGAAATGAAGGTTCAGCTGAATCTGGTTCTTTACATTATGATGAGCTGGTGCCACCTGCTGTTAATAAAGAGATCATATTCCCTAGTTTTTAATTGTATGTTTAAAAAAAGAAACAAAGGACTGTTGYGATTTTTATTACAGTAATTTATTTTTTGCAAAATTACAAATTAAACAGTTTTTCTTCTATTTCTTACATAGTATGGACAGTCAAATAGTATTTTCAATAAACAAATTTTAAAAAGGCGTATTTTCTTATAAAACAGTAAAATACTTAGGTCACATGAATACTGGTTCTGCTCTGAGAACATGTTTTTATTTTAATGTTTGCTAGAAAGAGCTGCTGTTTTTAAATGTAATYGTTTATTTCCCTGGGCAAATCCATAAAGAGCAGAAGTTGGCCATAGAATTCAGTTTGTAGAGATAATCTTTCCTAAGAGTTTCAGCAAAGYACCTTCGTCAATCAGCGTGTGCAGCCGCCACAAACAAGTGAGATTTACAGAGAAGTTATTTATTAGCATATCAGTGACAAAGATTAACATATATTAACATACATTATGCCTGAATTAATCATGGCATGAAGCAGAAGAAGTTGGAGAGGCATCTGACAACAGGCTGCTCTGAAGTCGGTTCAGGGATGAACGCTTGCTGTTTCCTCGTTTTCTTGTAGCTCAGAAAAAAAAAGCACGAGGAATGGAAAGTGATCCTCTGTGATCTCTGCAAGCTTGTGTAATGCTTAGTCTGTAATTTCTCAAATTCCTGTCATGACTGCCTCACTAATTAATAAAGGATTTGGTTGTCATGTACAGTAGCTAAATACTCCATCTTTCTCTCTCTCTTACTTTGATTCCAAGGAGCCAGTTGTTGTTGTATAATTTTAAAGTGATCCTGATCACCAGTTGTTTCTAATGGTTTGTCCTATGTATTTTTACTTAAAGGGAATGCCAACTAGTTGCAACATTGGACATTGCTGAGACATTTACTTCAATTAAAAAAAAAGACAGTAAAAATACTTTTACTTGTTTAGTTTTTATACTTTACATTTTACTAGGTGTTCCTGTGTGAGAGCTCCTGAAGGTTAATCTTGGACAATATTTAACAATCAGCCCTTTAAAATGAAACCAGAGCACCTTGACACAGAGGAGAAGRAATGAMTCAGCCTGCAACTGAAAATGTGGATGGAGGACAACAGAGCTGCTTCATGTAAGGAGAATTTCAGCTTAGCCTGTTAGCTTTCACATTAGCTCCCAAGCTAATACATAAATAGGAGATGGTGATATAGAGTTCCCAAGCTAAYAATGTTAGCTCGGTAACCATATACTATACTACTACAAATAAATATGTGGGGTCACTTTATATATATACCGTAGCTAAGACTATATCGCCATAGCCTGTATATAAATGACCCATGGCCATGTGCTAACTCAAAAGCTAACAGGCTAAGTTGAGGTTCTCCTTTTACGAAGCAGATTTTTTGTCCTCCATCCATCATTTCTACATTTTCCTCTCTGTCACTGCGCTCTGTTCTCATTTAAAAGGGCTGATCGTCAGATATTGCTCAAGATTAACCTTCAGAGTTGGATAACTTGCTCAAACCRGAACACCTACTAAAGCTTAGCAGCGTAAATAATATGTCACCATCCGTGTGACATTATATATGTGTATATATATATATATACATATATTTATAAAATTTCATAAAAACTTAGCAACTTACAGTATTTTAACAATCTTTGTTTTACAATTGAAGTACCGGTAGATGTTCATCAAATAATGTCATTCCAACCAGTCGGGCTTCCCTTTAACAAGTTGGCATCTGATTGACTCATTTCCTGTTCAGCACTTGACCATTTTTAGAAGAAAACTAAAGTTTTAGAAATAAACTGACAAAGTGAAAGTATCGTTGAAATAACTCTTCGGTTGTCATGATTCCTTTATCAGCACTTTGGTCAGAGCAATGTTTGTGGTTTGCTATCTCAGTGAGGCACACAGCTGGAGTCCTATCTAGGTATCAGGATTGAGCCTTGGGCCAGAGCAGCACAATATGTGGCAGCTTTTCTAAGAGATGAACTAGGTATAGATATTGGCATCCCTTTCAATGCTCATTATAAACTCCTGACGGCCGGGCATATTGCTTTAGCCATCGCTGATGCAAGCCCATATCAGTGGTGGTATGACTGCGCTCCTGATGGCCTGTGCCACTCAGTTAAGACTTGTTCCAATAGTTTCCATTTAAACACTATTTGAACGGCCCTCAAAATGCTCTTAAAGTAATGTAATGATAGYGTCATGCACGGAACTGGAAAGCAAGTGCCTGAGTGGCTAGTTCACTTCAAAAGGGCCATTTCAAAGTCAAGCTGCAGCACCTGATGGAGGCTTCCTCTATATGTTGCAACATGGAAAGGGGCTGACGACTTGAATTACATGCTTATTCCACTGGTCCAGTCTGGATCCACGGGTCGGCTGACACCACGGCTGTAAACACGACCCATCACACCCCAAGCTTTTTTCCAGATATTAGTCTACAGCTCTTATTTCACTTTGCTTACTGTTTCTACAAGCACATTTTCAAGGCTTTGTTGTTTTTCACATTTACAAAACGGAAAAARAAACAGAGTAAGGGTGATAAAATGCTTCAATATGCATGATAATAAGTTGGTTTTCGTATTAGTCAAAGCAAGATCTCAATTTTTTATAAAAGGAATATGCTTACAACGAATAGATAAATGCTGAAATGTCTGTGCTGAAATGACCTTGAATCATGCCAAGACTTTATATTAGTCCTTACTTAACAGACTCAGCAACACTTTCAAAACCTATTAGAGAATACACCTTGTCACTGCATTCATGAATGAATATATCAGAACTGATGAAAAGCTACAGAAATATCCATAAAATAGATCCCAAAAACAACATTTGTAACTTAKGTTTTGCATCACTGAACATTTTTGAAGCAATGAAAGCGGGTATATTTGTGCATTTATTGGAACATTAATGTTAGTCATGCAGATACAGRGGTTAGACAATGAAACTGAAACACCTGGTTTTAGCCCACACAAACCCCTTTCAGACAGCTTCCTCTTGCGTCCACAGTTAATCCTGTTGGATGTGGTTGGTCCTTCTTGGTGGTATGCTGACATTACCCTGGATACTGTGGCTCTTGATACATCACAAAGACTTGCTCTCTTGGTCACAGATGCACCAGCAAGATGTGCACCAACAGTTTGTCCTCTTTTTAACTCTGGTATGTCACCCATAATGTTGCATTGCAATATTTTGAGCAAAACTGTGCTCTTACCCTGCTAATTGAACTGTCACACTCTGCTCTTACTGGTGCAATGTGCAATTAATGAAGAGTGGGCACCAGGCTGGTCAAATTTAGACAAGAAACCTCCAATACTAAAATGACAGGTGTTTCAGTTTCATTGTCYAACCCCTGTAAGTTACCTATAAGACTGTGGGTTTGTAGTAAACAAGTCTGGGTTAGAAGTTGAGTAAATACAGCTCATTAGGAAACAACAAACAAGGCTTGTCAGGACTGAGCAGGTGGAATCTTGCATCAAACCAACACCAGGAAGCGTTTTACTTTTTGAAACTACAGCAACTGCTCACCTCAGCAACCAAAGACTGATGAAGTGTTGCCAACAAAAAAGTGATGCAATGGAATTGTAAAAATGCAACTGTCCTGATGTTTTTTGACTTCTTTGAATCGTTTGGCGTTTGACATGAAAATCATGATAACTGTATGTAAAAAAGAAAAAATAATAAACTGAAACTGACAAAATAACCAGTTATTTCTTGAACTCTGCCAGGTAAGTGCTTCTGTTGTTCACTGAATGATAATGTTCAATATGCAACAAAAAAAAAGTTTAAGGAAAAGAACTTTAGCTGGGTGACCTGGGAAGGACATGAGAGGACAGTGTCCCTCTAATTCTTATTGCCCTCACTAAATAATTCATGAGTCATCCAAGTATAACTGCAGTTTAAAAAAATCATTCATTTACAATAATTGATGACCTGAAGGAACATGTCCAATATTATTACCTTGGTGAATTCAAACACTTGARCCACCTGTAGAGCAGCGCAGCATTAAGAACTAGATTTCATTCTTCCATTCAATACAGAAAGAATTCATGTTGCAGAAACACCAGAATATTTTTTAACCTTGTACTGGTTGAACTTTTTGTGAAGTTCATGATCACTGTTGGCAATATTTTACATTATGTAGCTGCAGGTTCTGCTCTTTGAATGAGAAACAAAGTTCTTGCATTTATTTATTTATTTATTTATTTATTGGGTTTTTTTTTTTTTGGGGGGGGGGGTACAGATTACATTTTTTGTCATTTTCCCTTTATTATTTATCAAGTATCTACGTGATGGTTAAAAAATGGACAGATAATTTCAATGTACACAGAAATAAATGACTGTTTCSGCCACATTGAGGGAAAAAAAAGCCAAATAATAAGGGTTTTCTGCCCTTGTTTCGAGTGTTCCCTGTAAAAGTATGAGATTTTGGGCCACACATATACAGACCAAAGCATAGACAAT